TATATATATATATATATATATATATGTTCTTGCTTAAGCTTGTGGAAGATGTATTTCACTATATTTTCAAGTTAAAGTAATAATACTTTTGATGTGATAATTTGAATATAAAAATTAAAATTTAGATGTCAGATATATAAGGGATTCAATGCTATGAATGTAAACGCGACAAAATTAAAATAGAGTTATTTTGATATGATATGAAAATTTAGGATGTTATAAAAAATCAAGCATGGGTATTAGGTATATGATTAAAAAGAAAATTAGTGGCATGTATGTAAATGCCCAGCATTACTCCTGCATAAAATTTAGTGGAATTTACATACGTAACATTTCAAGTATATTATTTATATAACCAACATTCTAACTTTTGTATTTGCTTATGTAATACCTAAACTCTTAAGTACGTCAAATCCATCACTCTGCCCTCGGTTAATTTACGGGTACTCTTTCTTCTACCGGGTACAAAATAATAATAATAATAATTAATTAATTAATTAATTATATCTGCCCGATTAGTTCGTTTGGCCGCTTGATTTGTGCATAAATCAAACAAAAGAAATAATTGTATTTGCTTATGTAATACCTAAACTTTTTAAGTACGTCAAATCTATCACTCTCCCCTTGGTTAATTTACGGGTACTCTTTCTTCTGCCGGGTACAAAATAATAATAATAATAATAATTAATTAATTAATTATATCTACCCGATTAGTTCGGTTGGCCTTGCTTGATTTGTGCATAAATCAAACAAAAGAAATAATCTGTCGAAATCAATCGTGTTATATTCATGAATAGATAATACAAAATAATGTTATTACATTTCCATCCCTACTTTAAAGGGATCTACGCTAGGACATTCTGTATATTTACATAGTATGGGTTTATTGTCCATATATTTTTTGGTTGGGTCGGCTAAGATTATTTGGCTTTGGGTGAGTGAGATTAGTTTGGTTGGTTTTGCTTGATTTGTATGGGTCGAGCAATTGACATGGTCTTGCTGTCAATCTTTAGTCCTTGATGAGGATCTTCTGGGGTGTCTCTTGTATGATTTGAGATGTTATGGAGCCACATCTTCTCTTGGATCGGCTCTACCATCATGGTTGTAGGGCTGTCAAAACGGCTCGTTGTTCGCGAACAGCTCGTGTTCGGCTCGTTAAGAAGCTCGTGTTCGGCTCGTTAATTTTGTTCGATAAGTTAACGAGCC